AGAGAGAGAGAGAGAGAGAGAGACCGCCCTGAACGTTTGTGTCAATACCGCTCAGTACACGGACGGGCGCGCACAGCCAAAGGTCCGAAATAGACCCGCACACCGGGCATCCCACCACTGTAACAATGTCCTTCACGCGGCGATTTTCGCATTCCCCAGCTGTTACTGCTAGTAGTTATGAGGTGGTCCACACAATGCCGTCTGTCGGAGTTGAAAGTAAAGCCGTGACCTTATTTGACATTGAAATTCGCCGAAACAGTTCTCAGCGCTCTGCCAAATTTCAATACGCAATGTCTAAAGTCGTCGCAGGATACTATCGCAACGTTTCGATAGCGATAAAAATCGTAAGGTGAGCACACCCTCCTTGTCGTTCAAGGAGACAGGGCGCCATGCGCCATGTTTGATCTGAAGGTATCAAACGCAAACAGACGACAGCACGTTCCATTACCCAAACGACCAGTCCGTCTGTCAAGGGTTTGCTAGACAAAGAGAACACGCCCGACACAATCCTACTAAATTAAACAATGGAAAAGCCCTGCCAATTTCTGTTCAAATTGATAGCACCCAATTTTAAAATCAATACACCCCTAGTTGGGAAATCCAAAGCACAGTAGTATTTGCTTAAACGGCCAGAAGGTACACAGCGGCGAGAGTTCTCGAACGAATAGAAGGTGGCGTCGATCTCCGGGTCAATACCGACCCTGATTCATAATCTCTTAGTTTAGTTTTATTTTATTTTATGGCTGATGTATGGTTAATAGACATTGTACAAAGTAAAGAATGAAACAATTACTTGGGGGAAAAAACCCATTTTTGACAAGATATAAGTCAATATATGGGACAAAGATAAAATCTAGATTGAATTCTTCATCCACTTAAATTATGTTTTTATCTGGCTATGGTTCCTCTGAAAGACAGGGTACAAAGAATCGAATGAAACAACAATCTGCCCCCCCCCCGCCCCAGCCGTCTCCTAACTTAAATAATATTTTTGATAAAATGGACGTCAACACGTGAAACAATTGAAGTGAGAAGAACGTGTCACAAATACAAACAAACAGGGAATTAGAAAAGGTCAAATCAATGGCTGGGGAATCACGAGCTGATACCTCTGAAGACAACTGGTTTGAAAATACTTTAAAAAAAAAAGGTTAATGCATCTGATCCTCTAAAATAAATTTGAACACATACACACACACACACACACACACACACACACACACACCAAAACCGTAAGAGATTAATATTCTCAAAAGTTATTTTCTACAAGAGTAAAAGTTCTTCTACTAAACGTCTCTCGGTCTCTCGATTCAACCCGAGGAGCAGTTCCAACAGACAGCAAAATTACGGTCACGACAACCTGATTGTTCGGTTGAGTAAAGAGAAGCACATCGACACAACAATGGTCATTTAGTTTCAGTATCAGTAAGAGTTTTGCGGCACTTGCAACACAAAAATTGTCATATAAGTGCCGAAGATTAGAGGGGTTACAAGAGAGTAACAAACACAAAAAGGAAGGAGGGGAGATACAGACGATAGACATTTGATAGGAAAGAAGAAGCAAACCACACCAGAGCACCCGCCAACCACTCACAAAGAGGAGCACATCGACACAACAATGGTCATTTAGTACTGGGAAAAAAATAAGACAGACAGACAGAAACAACGGAGGAAAGTAAGGAAGTAGGAACTGCCAGTGGCGTCCTCCAGCCACCCGCGATATACAAGGACACAGACCTATCTAGGAATTAAACAGAACAGGAACACAAGGCAGCAAAAGCCTGTTATTGCTTTGATAAGATGACATAGCTGTCCAATGTCAATGTCATCAATTGTGGGATAGAGCAAAGTCCGCTGGCTTACTTACTACTGGCAACCATGCTGTGATAAGACCACGCTTTTCTATTTTGATCTCTATGTAGTAGGGGTTTTACTTGTTGTTTTTTTCACATCGTGTGTATCTAATTGCTTCCTGCTATGTGCAAAATGAGACACGGACTTGTGGGAATCCAAGGTAAAGTGTTCGAGATACAGACAGAGTGACTGGTTAAGTGGGCACACACCGACACAATGCACATACAAT